ATGTATTTGTCTAATTTATAAACTTTACATACTGTGAATAATAAATTATATAAACCTGTGTTCAAAATTATTCTACGGTTAGCCTTTTGGTTATTATCTTCTTCCATTCATATCTATGTATTTTTTGCCATGTGCTTTGCTTGTTTCTGCACTTTGTTTGGCCTTGCTGCTGTTTTAACTGCTTTATAAATAAAGTGCTATGGTAATAAGGCAAGTTGGATCATCTGTAAGTCTGTAATTTCTGTAAGTCAAAACAAACAACCAAAACTGAAAAAAAAACATCAGAATCAGAATAGAATAAGTTTTATTATCATTGTACTGAAATACAGTGAGATTACGTTCAGACTGTTGTCAGAAAGATGGGCAGAGTGCACATTGCTGCTGCTACAGGAGCGTGGCCCCTTATCCTTTTTCAGAATACTTTTACATAGAAAAGGGGAAAAGGCCATTAGGAGAAGATAGTGGTATTACAAAGAAAGATCTCTTCACATCCTGTCCTGTCAGGACATGATTTAAAACATAAAAAACTCTACTAGCAGCACATTTATAGACACATTACATACAGTACGCATTTGATGACAAGACGGTGAGATTTATCCATGAAGCTCTTCCAGATAGGACCATAGTCCTGATAAGATGTTGTTGTCAGCTAGTAGAGTTCTGATAAGCACATAAGTTCTCGGGAGGGGGGGGCGGGGTGCGATAGACAAAGCTTTTCCTTAGTTTACCCATATCTCAGGAGAAATTTGATAAGTCGTCCTGTTTCGAGGCCAACCGGGGGAGTCAGATTCAGATGAGCCTGTTTCTTTCTTGTCTGCCTTGAGTCCTGTTGGTACTTTAGATCCCAAAATGGACAGATTTGTGGGTATTCCACTGGTCCGTGCTTATGGGCCCCCTCCAAAGTCGTTCCCAACATGCTGGCGAGTCCCAGAAGCCGCAGGTGACCTGCGATTCTCACAAATCGCCTCCATCTTACGGTTTAGCTCGTAAATCAGCTGATTTTGAGCACTCGAAGCACAAACCAAACCTTCACACAGACTCAGCAGTTATACTGAAACCGATGCCGCCATCCTTTTAATAGCCGATAACAGGAATCCACTGATGCCAAAAAGCAAAAACCTTGCTATCATGGTTCCAATTATATAAACATCTTCAGCGTCCTCCTGAAACAGAACGGAAAGACACATCAGCTCCCAAACTCCCCACAGATCCATGACATATCCTGCCGTGTGCGTCTCAGCGGGGCATGAGGGCTCTCCAGGACCTGTCGCTTTGTTGAAAAGATTGTATCGGTTTCGTTGAAAGTCCAGTTGACCAGATCCATGACAGTAGCTTTTGTTTTGGAAGTTGTGTAATAGGAGCTCCGATACACAGACAGAGAGCAAAAAAGCAGGAGGAGGAAGAAAAAGTGTCCGCCTTGCACGAGAGTGAGTGAAGAATAAAAAAAAAAAATGGCAAAAAATAAATAAACTAGTCCTGAAAGTAAAACATTAGATTTTTTAAAACAAAATTAACACAATGATGTAAATCTTTCAAGCTGGGAAGTCATTATTTTATAGCAGCACATGATTTTCTTTATTTAAAATGTGTTTTGCATTACTAGATCTAGCCCTTACATGTTTGATCAGGGAGCAGCAACCAGTTAAAATGATTGATGTCTTTTTTGGTTTGCTCTTGAAATATTTAGTTTGATTGTTTGCAGATGATGATGTGTTTTATCCTGATGTTGCTGGACGCACAGAATATGTCCTGAACTCCACTGGTATAATATATCAGGGAACATCTGAAAAAATCACTGAGCGTGGCTGGGTTTACGGACAGGTAATACAAGTCTGATGTCATATATAATCCACAAAGTTATAACAAGATACTTTGAATGTATTTTTAACACATTGTTGCCGTGCAGTTTGAGGCGGGTGTTTTGGATGCTTGTATCTACATCCTAGATGTCTGCCGGATGGCGATCCCAAGTCGTGGCGACGTAATCAAAGTTCTCAGGACAGCGTCTGCCATGGTGAGAATCCAGAGCAGATAAACAAATTATGTCCAACATACATTCATACATTTTATTAAATATAAATTTAGTCATATGTTCATATTTAGAGTTTTGATCAGTTAACAGTTATTGTAATTAGTGTTGTTGTTTTTAACTTTTAGTTCTTTTTTTCCTGGTTGTTCAGCTAATAACAAGCGATATGATAGACAGACATGTCCAAAAACTCATTTAGTTAGATTTTTTATCTAGATTTAAAAAAAACTATGAATACCAAATTTTCTGAATTTAACTGCATTGATTGGGTGTAGGGCAGAATGATGATGCAAGTGGGAGAGCTGCTGCCTCTCAGCAAGCAGGTCCCTGGTTCAAATCCCAGTCCAGGAGCCTTTCTGGGTGGAGTTTGCATGTTCTCTCTGTGCATGTGTGGGTTTTCTCCGGGTGCTCCGGTTTCCTCCCACAGACCAAAAACATGCATGTTAGGCTGATTGGTAACTCTAAATTGTCCCTAGATGAGCGTGAGAGAGAGTGAGAGAGAGTGAGAGAGCGTGAATGGTTGTTTGTCTTGTATGTCTCTATTTGTCCCTGTGATGGACTTGTGGCCTTTCCAGGGTGTCCCCCACCTCTCACACAGTTAAGGCTGGACATGGGCACCAGTGACCCCTGTGACCCAAAATGGAAGAAGTGGGTAAAAGATGATGGCTGGATGGATGGATGGATGGATGGATGGATGGATGGATGGATGATTGGGTATAAGTAGTGTTTGGCAATATGCTGGTGAAGATTCTCAGTCATCCAAAACATGGTAAACTCAAAAAAGTTGAAGTTAAAAAACAGCTGGATTTTACTTGTAACAGAAGATGTTGCTCTTCTCATTTGAGGAGCTTTCTCAATTCAAAGAACAGAGTGTGGGGTTTGAGTTAAAAAGCTGAGCAAGTCAGTGAGGAAATCTACAAAACTCACCACTAAACAGAACAAGGAGAGCAACAAACAGAAAAACATTGTCATCCCATATGTTGCTAAGTATCTGAGAAACTCAGAAGAATTTTCTCCAAACACAACATCCTGGTACATTTCAAACCCAGCAGGACTCCCAGACAGAGGCTGGTCCACCCTAAGGACAAAACACCCAAACGCAAACAGAGTGGTGCGGTGTGTGCAGTCCAGTGCAGTGACGACTGTCCAGATCTCTATATTGGAGAAACCAAACAGTTGTTTCACAGACGCATGGCTCAACACAGGAGAGCCAGCTCCTCAGGACAAGACTCAGCTGTTCACCTGCACCTCAAGGATAAAGGACACTCATTTGAGGACCAGAATGTCCGCATTTTGGACAGAGGACAGATGGTTTGAGGGGGGTGGAGGAGGCTATTTATGTAAAATGAGAGAAGCCATCTTTAAACAAAGGAAGATGTCTCAGATTTCAACTTTCAAAAACTTATAATGCAGCTTTAGGACTGATACCCAGCCAGTTTCACAACTATCAGGGATTTCATCCATGTCGCCAGCGTGACTCCACTGAGTCAAAATGAAAAATAAAATAAAAACCTAACGAACCCCTATTGTGAGGCTTGATAGGCAATCTACATATGTATATCTAGCTTAGCTCAGCTTTATAACTCAAACCCCACACTCTGCTCTTTGAGATGAGAAAGTTCCTCAGATGAGAGGTGAAATGTCTTCAGTTACAAATAAAGTCCATTTTTTGTCTTGAACTATTTTGAATTCATAAGTAGTGTTATAACTCAATTAAACCAAAGTTAGTTGACTTCATTAAAATATGTTAATCTGTTCTGAAATTAATTTACATTGGACTTGTTTAGTTTCTTGGTAAGTTGTCCTAAGTTGTTCAATGTGAATTGTTTCTATTTAAATAGACTGAATTGAAAATTATCTTCTTATTTAAACAAAAAATATGTTTGTTATGTGAACTTTGACTTCTTTCCGTCATCAGATCAATTCTCAGGATGACAATGGTGTGTTGGTTGGGAACTGGGGGGTGGATTTCTCCATGGGCGTAGCTCCAACATCATGGACAGGAAGTGCCAAAATTCTTCTGCAGTACCACAACACTGGTGCTCCTGTGTCCTTTGCTCAGTGTTGGGTGTATGCTGGGGTCCTGAACACCTGTAAGACCATAAACAAAAACCATACCTGTGAAAAATATGTTTAAAAAAGTTATGAAATTACTGGCTGAAATCGTTGTTAGAAGTAGAAACTAAGCCAGAGGTTGAGTTCCTTGGTACCATTAGCTAAAAGTACTAGCTAACTGCTAACGTATTGTCTAAAACTAGAAACTGAATGATAAAATCAACTAAAGTTGTGTATTTAAAATCTAAAAATTTAGCTTTGTCATTAATTGATTAAAGGTTAAGTTTAATAGGTAAGGCATTGTACTTATGTAAAAAATAAAAAAAGTGGTTTGACAACTAATATATTAACTATAGGTTAAAGCTAATAGTTAACAAAAAGCAGATGGTTGAGGGTTAAATAAAATATACTGAACAAGAAAACAAATAAAAAACTAGTGGATCATAACTCTTTTAAACTAGAGTAGTTTTTA